ATAGTCAATGTATGGGCTGACGGCCATCATAGACGTCACGTCCACGTCTAGCGCCGCGTTTACGTCTACGGCCCACCATGCCGGCAGTGCGCGCTGGTTTGCGTCGGAGCTAATCCAACCGGCGGCCTTCGAGTGTGCTAAATTTAAGCGGACACCCGCGAGCGATGTGTACGCGTTCGCGTGCGTCTGTCTCGAGGTACGGGTGGCGGTCAATGGCAGATGGTCTTGTATATAACTTTTTTGCAGTTGCACACCGGTCGTCCACCTTTCTCGGGTGTCTCGCCAGATGTCGCGGCCATGCTGAAGGTGATTGCTGGAGAGAGACCGGAACGGCCGACGTCCATGTTCGATGGCCTCTGGGGCGTCGTCATAGCTGCATGGGCCCAGAATTTTCGCGATAGACCTAATATTAAGACGATTATTGAATCTCTCCGGACGTTGGACATCGAATATGTAGTATAGACCTCTACCTTTTGGTTAAATTTCAAGGGATTGCGTGTCCTTCAAATATTTCAGACATTCCAAAGAATACTTTGAACCGGTGTTCGAGGCAAACCATCACAAGGTATTATATGGCTGGTGACTTTCTCGCAGAACGCGTTGCACTGCTGCAGCCAGAAGGTCAAATGGTCAATTTTAAGGTTCAAACACGCAGGTATGTAATGTATGTACGCTACGGTCAAAGATAGGTGGAATATTCCCACCATTCGATTTAATTCCGTACATTCAAGGATTTCGGCCCGTCCACCAGACCATCCCAAGGTGAAAGGTGGAGCGGCGCAGGCGTCGGTTGACGACCGTACGTTAGGGCGAGGTGAAGCCCATTCTGGATCAATGGCTGCAATTCCGGACGGAGATCAAACTCCATCTCCCGGTCAAGGCGAAGTACAACACGCGTCAGCATCCGCGATTTGATGAAGCGCAAGAGCGTCTCGTCGGAGAAGGAGCAGGGGTGGTTTATTTCGAGCACCTGTAAGCCTGGGCAACGAGGAGTGGGGAGATCCGGAGAGGGGGTGAGAGATTTCAACATCTTGTCATCAAAAATGCTGCCCTCGATCACTGGCGCGAGCCAAGAGTTCAGTATGGTCGCGACAATGCTAATCTCCCGAACGGTAGGTGGTATCACGCCAAGGAGATCAGCCAGAGAAATCTTCGAAAACGATTCCGGGCTGAGGTCAAGAGTTTCGATGCGCGGCGTACGGGCGAACAAAGGACCGCAGAAGACGGTGTCTTCATAATTCGGATGTCCACGAAGCTTCAAATGCCGCAATTGCGGCAGGAAGAGGTGGGTAAACAGGTGGCGAACAGTATTCGAAAAGTTGCCATTATACTGTATGTCCAGTGTATGGAGGAAGGAGAGCTCGAGATTAGGCTCTCCTACTCGGTTGCCATTTTCGGGACTGTTCACGGCCAGGCGGCAGGTCCGCAACTGAGGACACCGAGATATAACCATCAGGGATATTTCACTTGACCAGCCAGAAACGAGTGAAAGATCTGTTAAGCCGTTCCAGCGAAGCGGTAAATCCAGTGGACTGCTGATTCCAACGCAGAAAACGGAAAATAAAGATATTTCGGGGGCACGAAGGAAGCCCAGCGAGTCCCATAGGACAGTATCTTCCGGGTTTCCGGTAGAGTATTCGCGGATGTTCACCGACCTGAGCATCGGCACATCCGCCCCGGTAAGGTGCGACGTGGGCGCTAGAACTGAAAAACTGGCCGTGAAGCTGATGTGCTCCCAACGAGATGCAAATGGAAGCAGGGCCCGTAGGAGGCCTTGGGTAGCCGAAGGGAAAGCGATGCGGTGAGTTGCGCATTGCAGCGATATGGACAGAGGGCACTGGCCGGATCGACCTAGCCACGTCTTGGTGGTCTCCACTCGCTGCGCCATCTTCTCTTTGAACGGCTTAAGAGCCGAGTTATATAGGGCAATAGGCTCCACTACATGGAGGCTCGACCACAGGCGGGGTGTCGAGAGCGAAATGGTTCTCCACGAGCCGCATACGCGACCTAGTAGAAGAGGCGCCTCGCTGGCACTCATAACACAGTTTCGGTGTGTTGGAATGCAGGCTATAAAGATTTCTCGGATGATGTCGAGTGGAAGCCGTCGAGCCGGAGAGATAAGGGCTCTATGAGCGTCGACGTAGGCGTCGAGGCTGTCGCGCTCAGCTGCCAGTTTCTCGAGCGCCTTCCGCAAATCGGCGATTTCATCGTCAAGCCGCTGAAGTCGACGGACGGGGTCGACGAGGAGCGTTTTACAGCAAAATCAAAAACGATAGACCGTTTCGATTTAAAACAAAACTCCGGGCCGAGCACCGCCCACTGCCAAACAATCTAAGTTTAGACTCTCCAAATTTCTCCTCCTCCGAATCATCCCCACAAATTAAGCTTTATGACGACTCTCCCCACCATGCGACGTCAGTGGCATCTGGGATGTATAAGAAGACTTCACTGCACAAATTCAACTCACCATGGCGTACAACAACGGTGCCTACATGAACGGTTTCTCCCAGGCCCCATATCTACTCGGAATGGGACCACTTCCTCCTCCTACCTCTCGGAGAGTTGCTCCGTTGGTGCTGGCGATCGGTGGGGCCATGGTGGGGCCGCTTATGCTTTGTTTGGCAGTGGGCAGTGCTCGGCCCAGAGTTTTGTTTTAAATCGAAACGGTCTATCGTTTTTGATTTTGCTGTAATCCCGAATATCTCCCGGTCCTGCGGACAGTAATTGGTCCCGAGTTTGGAGGTGAATGGAGAAGACATGACTCGGAGGATCCCAGACCGGCGCGATCACGTGGGACTTTTTGACGGCAAACCACTTAAGCAAAGTTGAACGTTGAACGTTGAAGTCAGAGCTCCAGCCGTCGACAAATGCAGGAAGCAGGATTCTCAGGTTCAATTTTGCTAATACATGAGAACCAAGTGAATTCTTCAATGATGTCGAGATGAACTATTTCCCGCACTCGCGTACCCATTGAGGCCAAGGTTTTTCCCGCAGCGGCAGAAAGAGCCTTCCACTAGGGTTAACTAAATTAATTTGACACCAGTATTGTTCGATACTAGCTATGACTTCAAAATACACCGTCGGAGTTGCCCAGATCAAATGGACGGCACCCCAAGAGAATGCAACGGGTTGAGAATCCATTTGTAGAAAGTCTGGCGTAAGTATAGCAGGTCCAGAGGGTTTATATCAGAGCACAGCTCGGTGTGTAAGTTGTGGCTTGTGGGTCCGGATCTGGACTGAAACATAAAATAGAGGGGGCGCGTAAATCGCGTAACGACATTTCTCTAACCCTCAGCGGTGGGTCATTTTGAGTTACGGAGGATGCGAAGTTGCACTTGTAACCAGTAGATGGCCGATTCGTGATATCTCAACCAAACCCAGGTCGAGCGGATCGTTGGAATATATTGATCCTGAGGTGTCGTTCCAAGTCTGAGTTGGAGACAACGCAAGCGCGATGATGCTACTGGACATTTCAACTTGACGTGTATCACTAGTACACAGAAATATTTTGACCTCACGAGAGAAAGGATCAGGCACCGTAGAATCAGTATTCAGTTAGAACGCATCCCGCATCAATGTGGACGTTTTTAGTATGCGGCCCTCGTGAATCATTCTGAGGTGCATTCGCGAAAAGTCCAGGGATGTGGTCGTCCCTCGATGGTCCTCCATATCCCTAGATTGTTGCAGAGCGAGAGATGAGGTTCACGGAATCGGGCAATTGCCCTCGCTCAAGCCTGCGTGCATGCGTACGCGCCTGCGGGATCCCAGCGAGTGGTAAACTGCCCATTCGTAATTGCACTCTATCGGAGGGCGAGGACAAAAAATTCATCGAGACCGTGCATTTGTCGAAACGTCGCATCAAGTGTTCTCCGGCTAACACGCAGAATCGATCGGCTTGAGTCACCCAAACCATGTTTGATCCAGCAAAACGGAACACACGACGGATAGGAGGTAGCCACGACTCGACGAGGATTAAAGCGGGTGAAGGCCTGAGGTAGGCATGAACACACAGCACGATCCAGCCGCACCAGTGTTGGCTTCCCCGGGGGAGGCGGTGACTAGTCAATTTTCAACAATTATTGGAATCATCGTGGAGACGGTGGAGTTGGGTTGGAAGACCCAATACTGGGGTGGCACTGGTTTTGTCTTCATCGACGGTTTGTTTCGTGGAATTTGGGATGCCGATCCGATGTATGCGTCGCAGATATCGAGCGAGATTGAATTGAGATTGAACACGATGCTGCAAAAACAGCCAGAGCACCTTCGGACGTTGGGCGAGTGCACATCCACTGAAGGGAAACGATCCTGTCAATAGATCCCCCGGAAGTTGTCGACAGAACAGCGGCGCAGAATCAAAGGACCATTCTTCGTCGGAGAAAGAGACAAGCGGGAAGAGACGGAAGAGTCCGGGCGTTGCCGGAACATCACGTGTCGAGCTTCAACCTCAACCTCAAGTTGAAATCCAACGGGTCTTGGAGCTCTTGTTGGAACTGACCCGTTACATCGGGACATTTCTAGTTTATTCTAGCACATTCATGATGACTCCACTGCACAGACTATTGTAGTACCTTCTAGATATTATGTATCCTGTATATAAGCTGAATGTAATTTCAGCGTAGGGCATCCGTTTGCCCTAACGCGAGCCTCTTTAACCAGACAGCCCGATTGCAAATGTTCATCACTTTGCGCTGATTTCCCCATCCGCTCACCGGAATTCAACAGCTCTGCGGCATGGCAACATTCAGTTGCAACAACTGAAAGGAAAAAAGGAAGAAGACATTGAGATTTGAGAAGGGAAAAAAAGACGCGGGCAACAAGGAATGGCCTGGCATGGCCTTAAATCGAACAAGGAGTCCCCAGAGAAACCTCAACGCAAAGAGTTTATATACCCCAGTTGTGTTACCATTACACTGCCAGACCACTCCCATAAAATCTCAAGGTAAATAGATGCACAGGTTTTGCCGGCGCGGGAGAAATAAAAAGTAAGATCAAAAGCAACACGGCCTGACCTTGAATCGAACAAGGGACACCCACAAGAATTAACTTCTCTTTCCCGCCAGGTAAAGTGGATATGTAACCACTAAACCACCAGATCTACCTTAAATACTCCCTCAAGCTGATTACATGCACAATTTCGGTAGCGTAGAAGAAATAGGAATGGAAAATGCCAAAAAACATTGCCTCAAGCTGATGGCCTTGAGTCGAGCAAGGAACTCCCACATGTACAATGTCGAGTAAGTTACTATGCAGAGGGGGTGTATAACCACTACACCACCAAGCCTCACATAAATATGAAACTCAAGTTAATAGATGGTGCACTTCGACCACTTGAGTTGAACATGAATTCGACTGTACTGCAAGTTCAACATGACACGCTCATTTAATCCAGCGCCCCGTCTGCGGCTTGTACACTTTAATCAGAGTCGACGCGCTGGCAGGGGGTGGGTGTCAAATTTTCAATTTAATAAATCGAGGACAGGACGTGGAGAGAAAGAGCGATTATTCATTCCGCTGTAGTCAGTGGGTAAGTAAAGTGTACATGTAGTTGAGAGAGGAATCTCGGCGCGGCGGAGAGGAAGAAGGGTACGAGTCGGAGGGGAACATGATGGAGATGAGGTGCGCGGCTGTAGAGGTCAGAAGGCGACAGCGCTGGAGCTTTGAATTTGAATCGGGCGGGAGTAATATTGATCCCCTCGGTGAGATGTGTTCTTGTGGTGGTCCATGGGGATGTGGATAGGCGAGTTGAATCTTGAACCAGAGATCGGTCAGCGATATAGTGTGCAGCTGCATAGCTTAATAATGGACACGGACAGAGATAGCGTGCTATCGGATACATACTTGACTCGGCCATAGAGCGTAGATTGGAGCGACCTTGGAGGGGTAAGATTTGCGTTAGACGTTGAAGCTGGGGTCCTCGGCTTTACGGCGGTCCGGAACGTTCGACGCGGGACCGTGCAGTGCTGGAGCTTCAGACAGGCACGAGCGCAAGCGGGACGTTCGTGAAGATACCTATCGGTCGGTCGCGTGGAGCGGGGTCTTGCAATGGTAGATGATTCGTAGTAAGTTGGATTGAGCAATCGGTGGTTCAAGCGTCGACTCAGAAGACACTAGTAGGGGTTTTTCAGGCGCCGCATTCGCCAAACTCGAAATTGGGAGTCGGAGGGGCAGAGCTCGCCAGACGAATCTAAGGCGCGCAGCTAGGTACTCTTGACCAAACGAGCGCTCGAAGTGTTCTAGATATCGTGCGGGCAGAACTTCAGCCCAGGTTGCTCACGCCGCTCGGACAGTGGACTCGGAGTTGGGAACCGGATAGTGCCTCCCGTTCGTTCACTCGGAGACAAGGCAGACATATGCAGAGGTGAATTCTCGGTTCCGACGCATCTGGCGTTAGACCGCAAGTCGTCGAGCAGGGTCCCGACTGGCAACCAGATCTGCAGAAAAAACCAGAAAAAGTTGAAAGCGAGAAAGTGGCCGAGCACAGCCACCGTTTCCTGCTCAGTCTCGTCCACATCGCGCTTGAGTTAGTGTATTATCCCCACCTTCTAGTCTCAACGCAGATACCCTCCCGAGCGGACTCTTGGACAGCAGACGTCGTGCATGCGTGCCTATACATCATCCATTTCCGGCCTCATCCGTCTACAATCCATCCTCGAGGATGAAAATGAAACGACGACCCGTCACATGCACATCGCCACCGACACGTACCAACACGCAGAGCCTGAAGTTGCTGCCGCCCATTCGAGTGCCACGCGGTCGGCGAGCGCGCGCCGGCGGCTCACACAATTCCACAGCTACATAGCTTCCATCGTGCGCTATGCATCGATTCGACGTAGAGAACGACAAAGCCTCCCGTGGGTTTCTGCCTTGCCTCCCGTGAGTCTCCACTTCCCTCCCTTGGGCTAGTGCTAACATGCGTTAAGTATTGCAGCAGCATCGACCTTTAGGCCCAAGCACGCCCGCCGCGGCTTCCTGCGCTATCACCACCGCAGAGCGGGATTGCTGTCGCATCCCGCGCCGCTCGACTCGATCGTAGTCTGCACGACCATCTGCTGCAGGAGCTGGCCTGGCGCTGGGGCTGCAATCTGTCGAGCACACGCCAGATCGGGTACGAAGCCGGCAGGTGCCAGCGAGCATAAGAGCAGCAAGTGCTCCTCGCTAGCCTCAGTGCTCTGTTCTCCCCTCCACTGCCTCGTCCTCTGCCTCTTCCCCCTTCTTCTTCCCTCAGATACGCTGAGAGAAACGCCGAAGAAGCAGACGCCCGCCCCCGCGCCCACCCGCCCATCTCGATACCACTACAGGACGCCCTCCCCCTCCTCACACGCTCGCATTTGGAGCAACTCCTCACGCCCTCCCGACTCTTGAAATACGTACGGCGGTGAGGAATACAGTACGCTGTCGCGCGCGCACCCATCCGCATCTGGGGACAAAAGCATCTCAAAACGGCCGCAACGGGAGGGAGCGGGCAAGTGGCAGAGGGGAGGGGGGAGGGAGATCTGGGCGGGGCCGCGGGTGGAGAGGCGAGGCGCGTCGTTCGCGCCTTTGTCGCGTGATGGAGAGGCAAGTGGGGGGGAGGGGGGCGTAAGAGAGGCGAATACGTCTGCCGCGCCTGCACACGTTCGCGCAGGAGCACCCCACGACCCCGAGCCGGGGCGGTGGACGGTGGACGTCTCTCCTCTCTGTCTCCCTTCTTCGTTTTCGCCATTCCCTCTGCGCGCTGTCCTCCCTTCATTACTTCTTTCTTTCCTCTCGCGTTCACTCCTCTCCACTCCACGTCCCGTGCCCTTTCCTCTACCCCATCCATTCCTCCCTCCCACTCCTCCCCGCTATCCGCCTTTCTCCCCTCGCGCACGTCCTTCCTTCGCAGCCCTCCTTCCTTCGACCCGTCCTCTCCTCTTTCGGGGCGCGTCTGGGTGCGTCCCTCGGTGCTCGTTGCGATCCCGCCGCATTCGTCTTCTGATATCTGGGCGCTAGAGCGCGTCGCTGATGCGGTCACCGGTAGGGTGTGCCCTGCCTGCCGTGTCTCCCCGTCGGCGCTGTGTCGGGATTCGCGGGCCTCGGGCGCACCGCCCAGTGATGATGATTGCGCGGTGCGGGAGCCGGTGTGGACGGGATCGCGTGGGGAGACGATATGCGTGGAATGAGGTCTGTGGCGGCGTGGGCTATGTACGAGCGACGACCCGGGCGGCCGCGCCCCTAGTGTCTGCGTGCCGGGCTCCAGGGTGTAGTCTTTGCAGGGCGCGGACCGGGGATGTGCGGGGTGTAGAGCGCGGGGAAGCGCACGGGGCGACGAAGCGGAGGTGTCCCGTGTCGATCGTCGCGAGGCACGGGGATACGTGCTGCGACCCTGCGGTATTCTTTCCGAGGCTACGCCTGCGCGATCGCGGAGCGTTTCGATATGCGATGAGCTGCATCTTTCCACGGCTGCGCGGCGGATCTGTCTGTACGCGTCCGCAACCTACATTGGCGCGTCGACGTCTTGTCGCGCGCGGGATGGTGCGGGCGCTCGCGGCGATGATTCCCCAGTGTTAGACCACTGCCTGTCCTGTCTGCGGGGGGCATCTTGCCGGAGACAGGATGGATTCGAGCCGTTGGGTGTGTCCGCATCTCGTTACGATTGCTACTTGCGGCCGCCTAATAGCCGCTGCAGGTCGTGGCACGAGACATCGCGCGCTTCCTTCAGCTTATGGCGCAGTGTTCCAAGGCATCCTCTGTGTTCTTATGCACCACCTACTTTCTGCATCATAACACTCTCGCCTCCATCGGTGCCCTACATATGCAACTGAAATGATATTTCTCTGCGCCCTGTGCTGAGTCGGCGATCGATTAAATGGGAGCAGGCAACGGACTGCGGTGTGGACATATCTACCCCAATGATACCGCAATGACCTCGATTGACTTGCAAGGGTATCGCACAGTATGGTGTACATAAGATAGGTATTTCCAAGGGGCCATGCTATTATCACGATATATGGATAGGCGCGCAACGCGTAAGAGAATCGTGAAATCAGCTCGGATAGCCACTAGAACGTCTGGAGCATTTGGGATAATAACACCCCCCATGGCGTCACAACCGGCTACTTTAAGCACTTGGAAAATAACATTAAGTAGATGGGGCGCCGGGCTGGCTGCCGGTGCGTTGATGATCTATATGTCCAATGGAGGTCAAAACGAGAGGGAATATAAAAGACCCAGAAACGAATTCTTACCGCGTGTAGCTCGCTTAACGTCTAGCGCTCTCATTTTCTCTTCGAACTCCCGTTCTATCGATTCCAAGAGGGCCTGTTCTTCTTCCCACGCGCTCACCACGTTCTGCTTCTTGGTGCAGATCCACCAACCCGGGACGGGGTGAATTGTGTCGTTTTCGCCGCTGGCGGAGAGCGTGCGATCCGCGCTGGAGGAGACGCGTGCGCCGACGAGGCCTGCCAGCATGAGACAATCGATCATTTCCCCGTTGTCGTTGAGCTTGACGTCGACCTCGGCGTATGCGGGAGGGACGCTATCGCTCTCCAGGTGGTGGTAGGGTGTCCCATCCAATACAAGGGACCTACTGACATACTTCGCGTACGTGGCCCAGAATTCCTCCGCGGTAAGCGTCTCGGGTGCTTTTTCCACTGCCTTCGTCTGGATACAATGCATTGTGAGCGGAAAACCACGTTGGAAGAGCACACCTCACCTTATCCAACTGATGTCCGATCCACGCACCCTCCTTGCTGAAGGCATTGAATGCGTTGATCCAACCTGAATAGTAACTCGGACCGCTGTCTTGTCTCTGCAGATGTGCGACCCTCTGCCAAAAGTCCACATTTTCCTCACTTGCCGGCTCGTCGAATGCCGCGATGAAGCGGGATATCACCGGGCGCAGCAGATGATACCACGCGATCGTCTCGATCCCGTACTCTTTCAGCTTCTCCAGACGCCGCAGAATGTTGACCCAATCCGACCTCTCTCCCTCGAGCGTGACACGGGGAATGCCGCACGTGGAACACGAGAAACCGTACGAGAAATACTGCTTCAGTGTCGCCATCATGAGCACCGCATCTTCCGTGATGTCGTTTGCCGTGGTGGTCGTGAAATTGGGCATGACCCATTCACGGA